TACAGTCTCCGGATTTTCGAATACCTAGAAATAATCGAAAAATGAATTTGAAGAATCCATGAAGTTTTCTTTCCCGAGTAAACGCGAGTTTACGATAAAAAAAAAAGAAAGAACTGTTAGAAACGATCGCAAAGATTGTTGTTATAGTTCGTAGTTTATAGCAAGATTTCAAGCGTGATCTGAAACGATAAGCTCGAAACAAGGATTCGTTGAACGAGTTGGCACCTTCGGCGAACGTTAAAAGCTCTACTTTCCTATGGCATCGTTGAAAAAAACTAGAGGGCAAAGCAGAGACGTCATTGAAATGTAGGAAGTTAGTTTGGTGCACGTTAGCAGGTGGGGTGGCGTACTGGTGATGGTGGTAGTAGTAGTACTAGTAGTAGTAGTAGTAGTCACTCTGGTGATGCTGGTGGCAGGACGGATGCAGCTTTTCACAAGAGCTTTTACGAGTCGCATATGTGACCGCCGTCTCTTTTATCCCTCGCTTTATATTCCTGGCACCGTGTTCCATCCCCTCTTTTTCTCCTTGTACGTCGACGCCTCGCTTTACGAACATCCTTCGCAAAAGCTCTGCCATCCCTCCTTGATATTTTTCCTTTTTTCTCTTTTTTTCTTTCTTTCCTTCTTTCATACATACTCTTCTCTCCGAGGGTCTTGGAAAGAACTTCGAAGCTCCCTACTTTTTCACCTTCCCCTTTACGTAGGCAACATCACGCGGTAAAACCGCGAAAAATTCTTTCTTCATATACACTGGGGACCGATAGTCCGACATAACATAACAAATTTCCAAGCTTCTCGAAGGGCAACCACGATTCTCCCTCCTCCTCCTCCTACTTTTTTTTTGTTCGTTCGAGCGCACATTTAAATCCTCGAGGCTTCGAATCTCCTCTTACTCCTCCTCCTCCTTCTCTTCCTCCTTCTTATAACCAATATCCTTTACTACCTTTTTCTCTTTTTGATCTTTTTCTCACTTTGAACCCTCCTCCTTCCTCTTGGTGGATAAGGACAGCTGAGAAAACTGCTACACGACCACCCAGGGACCGATTCTTCCCACGCACAATTTACAGTTTCACATTTTATTCCCATCTCGCGTTCGACGTAGGGAGGACCTCGACTGTGCTTCTTGGTGTGATGATGGAACTCGCGTTGGTTCGACCTACCACCACAGGGATGCCACCCGAATAAACTCATATCTATCCTCCTCCCCCGTTCATCTCGCACCATCCTTTTTCCTTCTTATGGTTTACCATCGAACAAGAAGAACAAGAAGATCGAACATCGATCATTACTTTTTTTAGTATATGGCTTTTTGGATATTATTTTTTTATTCATATGACAGAAGATTTCTTCAATTAACTTTTAATTTCGATTAAATCATTATAAATGTTTCAATGTTCAATTAATTGAACGTAATATCATCACGGAGAACCACTGTCGATTTATCGTAAAAACCGTGGGACTCACCTTTATCGACTTTTTCATGATTTAATTAGGCTACCATCGATGGGTAACTCTACCCACCTGTTTGTGGAGGACCACCATCGGATCTCTTCGAATTTAACGACGTGGAACTGTTGTGTGTCCTTCATCGAGGAAATATCAGCGATACGTTAAAATATAAAATATCCTTTCGTTTCATCAGACTGCTTTCAAAAAACCTTCCGACTTTGTTGTTCTTAGTATTTATGATTTTATCTAATAACAATGAAGTTCTATTGTTTGCACGGCTTTCATTTTTTTTTAAGTTAATTTATGTAACAGATCTTTCAGATAGAATAATTAACACGATGGAAGATTAAAACGCATAGTAAATGAGTTCTCTCGAATGACGTGGTTAAAATATGTTTTTCAAATTTTTATTATATTTTCTTATATAGATCTTTTTATTATAATATTCGTTATCGATAATAGTGCGATTGGTAAGTTTTGAAAGATCGGTCAACCGTAATAAAATTATTCTTTCGTTTAATTGAATAATCAATGGTTAATCAAAGTTACCTCCAATTAAGATAAAGATCGTCCTATTCATTTATCGGGGTGGTGAAACGACCGAATGTCGATTATTTACGCAGTCATCTGAATAATTGCTAAGAGAAATCATGTTCGGGAAGATTCGTGGCTTCGTTAACGACGAAGACTCTCGACGATGCTAAATAAACAGAACTTTCTATTGTGTTACACCGATTAAGATCACCCTCGCATTCATTCGTTCGTTCTTTCGTTCGTTCGTTCGTTCGTTCGTTCGTTCGTTCGTTCGTTCTTTCGGCTGGAGTAACCTCGTTGATAGAAAGTTGCAACGAGTTGCTTGCCTACATCGAGGAAATAATTATTCGCGCAGTCATGCGAACGAACAATTAAAAACAAAATTTTTTTCTTCCCTTCGAGTAATATTGAAATGTATTAAACACGATGAAACATACGAGTCATGTAAGATAGTTGCAAGATCAATAGATAATCATCCCTCGATAAGACATTCTCACGTTAATTACGTTTCTTTTCTAATTTCTGCTTAAGAATAGGGAAAGATGAGAATATGAAAAATCTATTAATTTATCTTCCGTTTTTTTTTAGAGAGGAGGGAGGAGATTTATCTCGAAATTATGGAAAACAACATGCACTAAAATTCGTAAGTTTAATTTGGAGTATCATTTAACCCTTTGACTGCCACTCCAAAATCATATGTTTTACCCAAGACGCCACGGTATTATTTTTATTATTTAAAGAATATAATAGCAAAATAATAATAAATTGATGTTAATAAAAAATTGTAACTGTTCAATATATCGGTCATATTCAAATACACTAACTTTCAATTTTCATTTAGTTATTTACAATTGTAAAAGGTCCGTTCATACGCTCTGGTCACCAATGACCAACATGGCAATCAAAGTTTTAAATAATGAACTTCGAATAAATATTGTATAATGATCGTTGATACGAGCAACAAACAAATAGAATATAATCGAGAAGATTCTCTGGATCGTAGTTATGTCAGAAAACATGAATTACAGTGATCGCGGTTTTAACAGACACGCACCAATCGAGAATAGACGTACGAATTGTATTTATAGTATACTCGGTTCTCAGCGTGGGCGGCCATTGATCTACGCTCGTGACCAATCGATTGTCGGACGAGATTAAAATACGTTGTAATTCAATTTTTAACGGTCAACGACTCCGGTGGGAGGTAAGCTTGTTTTTTTTTTTTTTATTTCTGTTTTTTTTTCACGCTTCGTCGAGCCTACCGCTAAATAACCGAGCAAATAGCTCGTCGTCTTTTTCTTCGTAAAATCACTATAATCGTGGTAGGCGATTAAGCCGTCGATCGTTTCGCCAATTTTTTCTACGTTCATTTTTACAACAACAAAGTATTATAGTAGTTAAGTATTATAGTATATATATATAACATCGATTATAGTTTTATTTTCACTCAATAGATTTTAACAAGACATTTTTATTTATTAACACGTTGACTGCCATGGGTGTCACCGGTGATCGGCATTGGACTTAGCTACAGCACTTTAGGGGCCATCGGTGATACCCAGTATGAAAAATACTTCAAGCATGATTTTATAACTCATGTTATTTGCTACAAATAATATTTCAACATAATATGCATCGCATAATGAAAAATTCACTTTAACACAACCATAGAAAATACGTTTGGCAGTCAATGTGTTAATTAAATGAAACATCTATAGTATTTTTTTAAATACAAGAATAAATTATAAATAATTAAAAATATTATTATATATATTTTACGTTTAAAATGACAAGTTACTTTTTCTACAGGGATCAAGAAAGAAAATCTTATAGACTTCGATTATGATACGCGTTTTATGCTACGGTCACGCAAATGGGATGCGGATCGGCACGAGTTACGGCGCGACTAAACGTTCCGCGGACACGTTCGGAAAGCATGGACGTATTCCTGTAGAAAAACGATTCTCGTCAGCGATCTACCAATGGAAAAAAAAGAAGAAGAAGAAGCTGCAGGAAAAAAGGGAAGACTTTTATACTTGACAGGGACAAGAATCTACTCTATGTTTTCCTATTTTAATTATAAAGGTAAAGAAATTTCATTTTATTTAAATAAATGACATTTATTATTTGTTCGTATGTAAGCGTAGTAGGATTTCTCCTTTAGGTGCGAAAGATAAGTTAATTAACTCCGATAGAACTAGCAGCCTGTTATTAATCGGAACATATCGCATCCGTGAAAATTAAACGCTAGCTGACCACGAGTAAGTAATAGCGTGGGCGGAGAGATGGTTTCCAGCGTTGGTTGCTTGGTCATTGCAAAGGAAACAAATTTCGTCATTTATTTTTTTACTCTTACGATATTTTGTTATATTCATTTTTTTCTATTTTTTTTTTTTTTTTTTCATAATATGTCAGTGACACGTGAATTTCTGAAAGTCTCGATGCTTTTTAAGCATTCTGTTTGAGTATAAAGATAAAACAACACTATACTAGTTGAACAAACAATATTACATTAGCGAACTGATCAAACATCTCACGTCGTTTCGGCTATCCTGACGAGTTGACATCGCGTTCCGGCTGCCGTTATTGCTTGACCCTAGCCTACACCATTTTCTTTCAGAGTTTGCTCATATTCCTTGGCATTGGCTTAATTAACGGCGCAAGGATATAGAATAACTACATCGACAAATATATATCCTCCGATCACGAAGATGTCAACTAACCGAGATCCTATCTTGTCTATTTTACTTTGGCATTTAATAAAACGGATAAACATTGAATCGATCCGAATCGTGTCTTGTAATATATTACAAAACAATAATCCCCCAAATGACGATAATTTATCGACGTTCAAACTATAATTTACTTGTTTCGTGTTACAGACAGTCACGCATTTCGAGGGGGCACGCTAATGAAGAAATTAATAAGACGAGGAACGTATGAAAAGGGAAACAGAACAAGAGAGAGAGAGAGAGAGAGAGAGAGAGAAAGAGAGAGAAAGAAAAAAACATTGTGAACAAATATATAGAACAAAATTAGGTATACTCCATTAGAGGAAGCTCTCGAAATGTTTGCAGTCGAATGTAAGTAGCAATAAATATTTCTTACTTGACTCTATCGAACGTAATTATTAGATAATACATAACTCCTCGTTCTTGTTAACTATCAACTTGCACGTTATATACCCATTTTTCTTTTCTATATTATCGATTCATTGCTCTATGATATTATTCGAGTCATCGCGTATGACCGATTCTTTGTCCAGTTATCGATTAATCGTATATCCTTGTTCTCGAGTTTAATCAATGAATGTTTTTAAATTTCATTTCAAATTGGAAGGACTTTCGATGAATTCTCCAAGCGTGATTCTAATTCAAAAAAAAAAAATAGTCACAAAGTGTGAACCTAAGAATAGTAATAAACTATTGTAACTTGTTGGTTATGTAGAAAATACGTACACACGAATAAATATCGTACTTCGAATAGGACAGATAGTCAGCATGACTGGCAATCTTTACCCTTCACCATCGGCGACATCCCGCTGACTATTTATCTTGTTACATCCAAGTGATTCGATTCTAAAAGGAGATCAATGACGACGACCACCGACCTTCCTGGCTTTCCGGCTTCTTGTTCGATCTAACGCGTTAACAGTAGAGGTGTTGTTTTGTAAGTCATTTGAACAACAACAAAAATACTAATTTACGTTGTACACTGCTTGATGTTAAACATCTGAAAATAAAGAAACGAACAATCATCATCATCATTTTTGTTTTAAATGAAAAATAAAAAACTTATATCACACATGAAATTTAAATTTAAAAAAAATGGCATTGTTAGAACTAGGTAGGTCTATCTGTTTCGATTCGTTACGCATGAATTTGACGACGGATTGCACCGATTGCTAATCTGAAACGGCGAATTTGTGGTTTAATGAATCTGAGAATCCAAGAGCAAGGGATAAGAAGGCAGGTTTTTGAGACGCACGGACTGATCGGCTTTTTGTGGCTGAAAGACTTCCGTCACGGCCACGCCCGGGCACGTGACGCCTTGAACACGACATTACAGGTGTTTGCCCATCCCCAAGATTCCGTGCCGTTTATATCTCCGTTTATATCCGTGCTTATATCTTGTCAGTTAAGAAATCGATAAATCAACCAGTTGTTTTTCTACTCCTTCTCTCTCTTTACGTTTTATATTTAAAAATTCTTCTCTCATAAGGTAGGACAAAGTGTAGACCAAAGAAAAACCTGTTTTCTTCGAAATAATGCTCTTGAATGTATCAAAAATCTCGTGTTAATGTAAAATCGAAGAAGGGTCGTTAGTTTGGTAAGAACATTTTCTAGAAAAATGTATGTAAAAGTAAAACAGTTTTCCTTTTTTTTAAACATTTCGATCGATATACGTTTAATACATATTTACTTGCATATACACATTGATGGTATATAAATCGATGAAAGCAAATGTGATCGGTTATAGTAAGTCTATGGATTGTAGGTGGGCATAGACGATCGAAGGAGGGTGAAACGATGGGGTGGTCGACTAGGTGGTCGACGGGGTGGTCGGCAGAATTGCCGAGCACCTCGTCTGCTCGGTGAACCGTGGATTAAGATAAACCCTTCATCGTTTTCTTCTCGGACTATTCTTCTCGTTCGTTCATCATTGTAACGCGAAGATAACGACGTAACGGTGCAATCGATAGACGATCTTTAGACGATTCTCGATCTTATTTACTTTGCGATGAAAATCAATAACCCACCCTTAACTTTTGGTCAATCGAAAAGAAATATTTATTATTTAACTTTTAAATATCTTAGGTTAAATTTCATTTTCATAATTATTCATTCTTGATCAACGCAAAACGAAATCATCAGGTTTCATAGTTTTACAAATGACTAATTACATTATCTCGTAATTAGTAAAATAAAGATGGGAAAATATGAGAATGAAACTGTGATGGTGCACGGTTCGAATACTCGTGCTTAAACTTCATCTCTCGGCATTGCAATCGGTTTTTTAATTTCACGCCTGTGAATGCAGCCGAGAGAGTTGGATTTATGATCAGCTCCATGGTATTTTTTCATCCTGAAGAGAGTGCGTAAGCCGGTGAGCTCGGATTGGTTTCGCGTTGTCGATTCTCTCTTTCTCTTTCTTTCTCATTCATTCATTCTTTTTCTCTCATTGTGAGTAGTCTTCTTCTCTTCCTTATTTCATTTCCACTTATACGCGAGCACCACCATTGTTTCCTTGTTGCATATGCAGGCTTTCTTTCTCTCGTATTACTCGCAATATACGACGACGAATTAAGGAAATTCACGCTCTGCTTCTTCGACATCCTCTTATGTGAAAACTCTGTTTTTTCTCTCAATTTATCCACCATTTTTTTTTATTTTACAAAAAGAAATTAAAAAAAAAAAAATCAAGCCCGATCGAAGCAATCTTATTTATGAACGTTAATTGAATTCTAAAGTACGTAAAAGGATCATCGAAATTCTTCGTGTAATCGATTTTATTATAGTTTAACTCGATTTTTAATTAATTTCTCGTTTTATGACGAAGAGGAACGGCTAATTGAGTAGTAGAGTAATATTATGTTTGTTTTTAAATATAGATATATAATATGTGTGTATATATATAATGTGTGTGTATATATATGTAACGATAATAATTTGCATATAACATCACATTGACCATGTCTCATTTAAACTAATTAATGAGGAAGAAATAAGTAATGAAATTATGAAACAAACCGTGCAGAAAAATCTTCACCGATAATATTATACGATCGACTTGTAGCTATAAGCGAAAATAGAGTAATAACTTTTCTTATCTATCTTCTACGATCGAGTTAATTGGATTATTAATACCGCAGTACTTGTTAGATAAACGACGTAGTCGCAGACGTTAATGTAGTAAAAAGTATTCTATATTCCCGGAAATTCACTCTCGACTCTTGGTTTGATTATCTCATTTCTTGTGCAGGTGTGATATCGAAAAAGACGAAGAAGAAAAACAAAAAGGAAAAACGAAAGGCTTATCTATGCGCTTATCAAACGTGTTCGTTCGAAATGAATAAGAAAGTTTCAAGGTACAAATCGAATCTCTTTATCCTTGTTTACACTTCGGCGAATCGCAATTACTGATATTCGATAAAGATAGATAATACAAATAGAACAAATTTTCAAACCTATAACTTTATGTTAGGAGAATAATTTTATTTCGCAATAATTTCATTTCAAGATTAGTATTAGATAAATAGAATAGATTTTATAATTTTATTATTATTATTACCTATATTTCTTTTAATTTTTCCCAACAACTATAAATAAATATTGAATCGAGAAGATACAAAAAAAAAAAAAAATAAATAAATAAAATACAATCTAATTCCATTAAACTATTTAATTTCATGTGAAATTCTTCGCGAGACGTTTCTAGCTTGTTAAATCAAAAGTTGCACCAATGTTCGGTTTATCTCTTCGTTCACTCTCGTTTCGCGTGGAAAATAAATATTAGAAATATAGCAAAAGTCCAAAGTTAAACCTAATCGAAATGGAATTCCCTTTGCTGTCAACGATAAATCAGAATCAGCTTTGTCGATCGTTTAAAAGGACAATGAGTGAACCGAGAAAAGCGTTTGGTAGCATGACACAGGGTATGTCATTACTGTGTTACATATAAGCTCCATTGCGACGACGTATTCTGCATAAGAATGAGCTCGACGACGTTGACTCTTCGTTTCTTCGTCCCTTCAACGACGAGGCTCGCCGGAAGGGAGATATTACAAAACCCTTTGAAAAACATAGATCTCATCGGCATGCCGCGAATGCGAGGATATATCAGAGCCGGTCGAGCCAGAACGTCCAGCGGCGCGAGTATTAAATGTTCCTTAATATGCACGATGAATATTGATCAGAAAGAAGAGAAGGATATTAAAAGAGTGAGAGAGAGAGAGAGAGAGAGAGAGAGAGAGAGAAAGAGAGAGAGAGGAGAACGACGAGAGTCTTCTTTCTTTTGATTGCAAAAGACGAGCACGCGCGACACATCCGGTGATCTCGTTGCTTGGAAAAAAGATCGATAGAGGAAAATCTCACAACGAGTTTCAATCATCTTTATTTTTATTCTATTTACAACGGTATGTAATGTTAAATCATTTGATCGAAAAAAAGAAAAAAAAAAACTATGAGAACATTGCGTACTTACCTATCGTTAGAAAAAGTTTGAAGGGAAGTTTTGTTTTTTCGATAATTAAGTTTCAGCATCGTTGGTAGAAAACAATTGTCATAAATTGAAAATGTAAAAGGAGACAAACTTTAACTTTAGTCGAAACAAACGGACTATCTTCTATCCTGGTTTTCTTCTTCGAGTGACTCATCCAATTAAAAAGATCGCAACCCGAACGCATTATTTCATTTATGCTTAGGTTCTCTTATATGAAGTTTGCATATTATCCGCGCAAGCAATTAATCAGGAATATTTATTACTCCTTCTCATGCTCGCCGGCTCGGCAATTAGTGAAATGATCGTATGGAAAGAAAAAAAAAAGAAAAAAAAAATAATAAAAATACTATGTTTTAAACGCGTTACCCGAGTATACCTAGGTTCGTCTCTTGCGTCGTCTCGCTACGAGCACAAAGCCACGATAATTACTTCATTAATGCTAAACGTCTTCTACTTGTATTCAGATTTCTCGATTATATTCTTGGCGTTACTTATCAATGATCACAATGATATACGATTTATAATACAAAGTCTAAACTTAGTTATGAAATACTGCTGGCTCGTGTTATATATCTCTTCCTTAAATATATTATACTAATACGAGACTATAATACTTATAAATATATATGTTGTTGCGTATTTTTTCAGGTCAACGACGACGACAGGACGTCGCCATGGTGGCGGTGGTCGGTCAAGACGTAAGACACAAGTATAAAGGGGAGAGAAAAACGGCAAACTAACGATAAATCAGGGCTATGGCATTCCTAAGATAGTGCTCTACCTGAAAGTCATTACAGTAGCAAAGTAATTCCCAACTAAGTAAGTAAAGCAATAAATACATAATGCATCCGGCGAGTTTCCCACACGCTGCTCTCGCGGAGAGCTACTACGGTCGCGGCCTTACAGTTCCATGAAATCATGCATCACGGCGAGTATAGTAGTTGCTCGCGCGATCGTACGAAAGAGAGAGAGAAAGAGAGAGAAAGAGAGAGAGAGAAAACAAGGACGCACCGCGCGCCGATTTATTTGCACGTCGATCGAACGAGGAGCCCAGAATGGATTCGTTTTTTTGTCCATCGCGAAAGATGCAAACCCAAAGCCATGGCGAAACCTTTTCGTGGGAAACCTCAAAAAAATCTATTCCTACCATACAACAAATTATTTTCTTACTTATAGGAAATAAGTAAATGAAAATAAATCTATGCATACGTTTCTAATAAATTCATATTCTTATACATTATGTATCATTTGACAAACTAACTTCGTCGTTCTTTAATCCCAACAACACGTTAGTTAATTAATAAAACGAGAAACATGCAGAATTTATTACGAACTCTCGTGTGTTCTTCTAAAGGAATTTTTCCTTCGTTACGTCAAATCGCATTTACCGAGCAAATGCTTGTTCCTTTCAATGAGCGTGTGAACCACGTTTGACCGTCTCCGAGGAGTTTCCACTGAATTTCTCGTCCACATTCGATAGATAAAACCAACCGAATCTTATGCAAGAAACGACAAAAATTAACTATACCAATGATTTCACTTACAAAAATTGTTCTTTTTCTTCTCTGTCTGTTTAAAAAGTATATTTTACACGCGTGATTATCGTATTCAATTATACGGGGGCAAAAGTACTGATTTTATGATTATTCTTTATCCGTAGTCGAACATACAATTCACTTTTAATTTAATCCGCAAGGAAAGGAAACCCGTCGCATTACGCTTTCTTCTCTCTCAACTTTTTTGCCCTTACGCCTTGGGAAAGCTATCGGGATGCAGTTTTTTAATCTATGCGATTAATTAAATTATACAAGTAAGAATCCGTTGATCTAAGACATCAAATGATGATCCATAGGAATACGTGTTTAGAAATTATTTATCTTATTAAAATTATATAAATGTACGATATGATATTATCGATATTATCGTTGTTCTTATACATAAGTTTATAAATATGCGATATGCGATTGTCTCGTTTGTTTGCATCGAAACACGATTTTCGTTGAAATTTTTTTTTTTTTAGTAATTTAATTAGAAAAAAATAAATCTAACATACGTATGATGGTAGAAAGCGTATTCAATGGCAACGATCATGAAGATTTGAAAATATCCGACGAGGATGATGTGAAAATAATAGAAACTAATCGAGTTTGGAAAATATGCGAAGATGTAAGAATAAAATATATCTTTAAGGTTATATCAAAACTTTCTATCTAGAAAGCCAATTCGTTTTCTTACTTCTTTGTAAAATGTAGATAAAGATCAAGACAGAGATATTGGACGAGATCGAAGATTTCTCAGCAAACGACGAACTAGTCGTAGTTGAAGACGAGAATCCTTTTGAGAAACGCATAATCGGTCTTACGACCAGAAAAGATCTCGTATGTACCATTTGCAGAATCAATTTTCCAAATGAAGATGAATTCAGAAGTCACATGATCCTACACAGTCGCTGTGAACTTTACCGATGTACCATCTCTTCTCAGCTATTACCAAGGTTACATTTTGATCTCTTATTGTATTTAAATAATTATTACTTTCATAATTTTTTTTTTTTCTTTCAGATCATCCAATTTAGAAAATCGTTCACGAACGTACGTTGACTTTGATAGCAATTATCAACCTATCAAAATTCAGGTATGTGTCATTCAAAACAAAGTATTAACTGCGTATTTATTACCATGTACGTGTGTTTGTTTGACTTTTTTAGGAAGAAAGTACCGTACGAATTCGTGGAAGATTACCGAAGGAAGAACGGTGCTTCGAATGCGGAATCTATCAAAAGAAATGTTCGCGCGATCGCAAAGCGAGTTACGCTAAGAAAAAGTCGTTCGAGTGCTCGATTTGCAAAAAGAACTTCTTGAGACGCAGTGGTCTTCGAGCTCATTCTATCGTCCATACTGCTGATTCTCCCTACAAGTGTGATATCTGTCCAGCGAAATTTAAAAGATCTTCCGTTTTGAAGACCCACAAATTAACTCATACAAATGTTAGAAGATTCGAGTGTGATATTTGTAAGCATCGTTTTCATTTGAAAGGTGCTTTGAAACATCACATACTTGCTCATTACGGTGAGTTAATTTAATGACTAATTTGATTTATAAAATAAATTGGAATGTTTGTGTATTTTATTTATCTACAAACAATTGACTTGAAGTTACAGGTGTAAGACCATATAAGTGTAAAGATTGTGGCAAACGTTATAGAAGATCCTGGGGACTAAAGGTTCACATGTATCGACACACAGGAGTGAAGCGCTTCGAGTGCGATCTCTGCAAGGCTCGTTTTAGTATCAAAACAAAACTGGCGAAGCACATATATCAACATACGGGAGAAAAACCATACAAGTGCGAGCATTGTTCACGTCAATACGATGAAAAATATCTTCTTAAGAGTCATAAATGTCCAATGAACTTGGATACTCTTTCGAAATGTAAAATCGATGCCTCCTGATCGAACTAATGACAAGATCTTGCTTGTTTTATAACAATTATATTATTAATTTAGATATCTAACTTGATTAAGGAGCCTGACTAGACCATTGTTAGTTTTAATGAAGTTGATATATTTGCGACAAAGAAACGTCCACTTCTGTGTATCCATCCTTCCAAGATTAATAATTTTCACAATGAAAAAGAACTCGTATTCCTTAACTGTTAGTTTTTAATAAGGTTCCCATTAATCAGAGACGGCAGAATACCGGTGTCTCTTGACTGTTGAATCAATCCACACGGATCTCGTTTGAGTTTGCATGCCCGTGTACTTTAATAAGGCCTCAGCCGCTTAATAAGCACTCTGCCGCTGAACAAAAGTTCGATTAATACCAGAGTGGCCGTGCACTCGGTCTCGATTCGAATTGGTTTCAGTCTTGGAACTGCCTCCGCGAGAGGTTACGGTCTAGGTCGAGACTCGACTTCGTCATCAACGTCCAAGTATCGTATAATCATAGTATTTATTTGGCATCGGAAGAACGTGACTTCTTATCGTTAATAATCGTGGAATGTAGGCTCGTCTAATTAAACATTTTTACTCCCTTTTAAGATGATAGATGATGTCTCTTTTTGTAAAATGTATATGAAGACAAATGATTTGAACGAAATTAATAATTTCACGTCCCATGTGAAAGTAAATCGTCGTTGACAATCGACAAAGTGCTTCTTCAGCGGCCGTAGCCGACTATAATCTCGAGCACGTGGATCCTCCTTATGTCGCCGGACGTGAGAACGGCGCTTTAAGGTGCGTGGACTCAGCAGGGGCTCGTATAAAGTAATCTGAGAAGGTAGAGAAGCTTATTTCTTATCAGATCTCTGATTCGTGTGCCTCCCGTCGTCCAGGTCCTTTGACAATGCCGACGCGTATCTGCCTTCTGGCCTCGTTTTTCCATTCCATCGCAGTTTCGCGAATTCGCGAAGAAACGCAATGCGCCCGGTACTTATGCGATACTTCAATCTTGATTTCGGAAAGAAACGAGAGAAATGATTGTCAAGAAGAGGAGGTGGGAGTAGCGCGCGAGCCGACTCAAGTGCCCCACCTTATCTTTTTCAATCTCACGATTCGTAAATACTTGCGAACGTTTCGCGACCAGTAATATTTTATGTAACGCCATACGTTAGCTTCGTTTTTTTTACATTTTATCCGATCTAACTCTGAGCGAGAATGATTCACATTAACTCGATTTGGATTATAATTTTGCGCGTGCTCTCTTCGATAAACATATATTTTTTTTTATATCTTGCATAACACTGTTGCGCAAAATCGGTGCATCTTCGTTTCAAAATCATTCGGAAATGGACTATGCAAACGTTCGAAAGCGGGATGTAATAATCGTTCTATACATTAATCACGAAACTACGAATTACATTATTGATGATAAACGATATTTTTTCTTTTTCAAAGCTTCCTGTTTTACGCGATAAATTATACGTTGCTTGATCGAGTCAATCGCACACATAGTGTATATATATATATGTGTGTATAGTTTTTCTAAGAAACAAGTACATCCGTCAGTCGCGTGAATTTTAATAAAATATAAGCTCGTTAACGGTGCTATCTAATGTAACCATCGATCGGAGACGTCTACGGAGACGAAGGGAAGTCGTACGCTTCTCGCTCGAGCTTCTTTTGACACATCGCTTCCTGAGACTACAATTTAAATAGACAAGTTTCGCGTTATAATATATATATATGTATATACATATATATATATTTATCTTTTTCTTTCTCTCTCTCTCTCTCTCTCTGTTTTTCTCTCTCCTAATTATGCCTACGGCCCGTGGAATCTACAATCTGACAGCTCGCGTACACGGCCTCGCAACGCCGTATGCAGAGTCACGCCACAAGTCCTAATTATTTAGATTACAATCATAGCGATTTAATTATTTTGCCCGTATCGTTGCTCTATTCGCCGGCATGCTAAGCGCACACCTACGTATATTTACGCTATACATATATATATGTAAGTACGCTTGGTATGCCTTTTTAACATGGATTCGAACAGATTCTAGCGGCGATGCCATTCGTAGTACCGGTTACTAATTACAATTCACAATTACGCGATTTCAAAGTAAGAAGCGACTTTCGAAATTACGTTTGATGCATAATGTGTTAGTTTATGACGTAACTAAACTAATCTTTCTGAGTTGACGACGCATTTCTTTGTCGCTTTTAGCAATGATCACGTAAAATATCATATAGAAAGGAATAAAAGGAAGAAAGAGAAAAGAAAAGAAAAGAAAAAAAAAAGTTCAAACGGAAAGTCAGGGTGGTAGAGAATAATACAGCGAATAATATTAAATAACGACGATATCGATTAGTATTGACAGGAGCGATTAAAGAGGCCGAATCGCCAGCCGGTAATGACCATGCGAGGTCGGTGAAATTGTGAGCACTGTAATTTCATTGATAATATTTAAATACGGGCTTTTGATAGCTGTCTTCTCTCGACCGGCATTATCCTGCTCTTCCCGCGCCACTCCGCCCCTGATTGTGAGACGAAGCAGAGGCGTACTATTTATCGAGCTGGTCCCATCATTATTTCATCGAACTCTTTCAGCGCCTCTCTGCTGCCTTTCTTTCTTTCTTTTCTTTCTTCTCTCTCTCCTCCCCCTACCAACTCCTTACTCTCTTTCTTCGTGCTAATCGACAACAAAGTATCGGGGCTCTGTGCGTTCCCTCCTTTCGATTTTTCTCAAGACTCTCTTAAGGCTTCCTTCCGTTCGATCAAAGAAAAAAAACGAAATTCTATTCTTCTTTTTTCAAATTAATCCAAAAGTGGTCCCGGAACTTCTTTCGGAAGTTTCGATTAAAATATAACTCTTATGAGGAATGATACAAAGACTTTTTTTTCACAGGAACGTATAACTTGACGTAATCTTGGAAAGAAAAAAAATTCGTGGTATTCGAATGGGGGAGGAAGAAAGGATGTAAATTTTTCGCTAAATCGTTCTCCCAAGATTTATCGGAGGAAAAATCGTGAAGTTAACGACTCGCTGAGATCGGCTATCGAACATAAATTCTAAGGTTATATGCATACAAGCGTGTGCGTGAACAAAACACACATATATGTATTCTGGCATACGCCCCGAATGTAGAAGCCAGTTTTTTTCTTGCTCGGTAGATCAACTCCCGACGAGAATTTCGATGCAATCTAATTGGATATGAAATTAAGTCAACGAAATTCCGACAAAAATGGCAGCACCGCGGCCAAATTTGAAATTCATATCTTCTCCCGCCTGCGCGAGAGGAGACGCACTGCCCTGACGCATCCGTCATCTTTTTCTGTCTCGATCGGATAAAGCAAAGTCACTGAGAGAGAAAGAGAGAGAGAGAAAGAGAGAGAGAGAAAGAGAGAGAGAGAGAAAGAGAGAGTCCTGTGATCGCGCATAATCGCGAACCAACGTATACTAAACCTTTTCTTGGAGGTCACGCAGAGAGAGAGTTCGATGCCCATCGTCGTTTTAAAGTCATCCATCCTTTTTCTTCTTTGTATTCTTTTTTACTCTCTTTATTTATCATTTCTTGCGATTTTCAAAATCGTTTACGACGTCGATTAGAATTGTCTCTTGTTGTAGGTACACGCTTAACCTCGTATCTACGTTAACAGATGGTTAAAGATCACGCTACAATTTCCGCTTGTCTCCGAGCGATCTTAACGGTTAACGGTTGTAAGAGAGAGAGAGAGAGAGAGAGAGAGAGAGAGAGAAAGATAAAGAGATAGACAGACATGTCGCGTGCTTCTTTACCTCGTCTCAGCTCGGAATATACGAATGACGGAAAGGTTTCATCTTCTTTTATGTCTCCTAGCTGAGACTAATGAGAGATATTCCGTTTAACGTTCTTCAGAACGATGAGATAAACAAAAAAAACGTATAATCTTGTACGCAAACAGCATGTTGTCTACGACAAATAGTCTCGTTACTCGGATTTTTGCGATAAATGACAGCAGCAACTAAAACTTCAAACTATAAACCTTAATTTAAGTAACAAACTCGTCGTCACTAGGTAGAGAAATCCTCTTTGACTGTTTGGACCATTTGTTCGTGAAAGAAAGAGAAAGAAATGAAGAGAGAGAGAGAAAGAGAGAGAGAGAGAGAGATGGAAGTGGCGCGGTGTATCTTCGAAAAGAGTCGCAGGCTCTCTTCTTGCCGCTGATGTTCTTCGTTCGATGTAGGTAATCATGCGCCGCATTCCCCGGGTGCCGGCCAGATTTTCGGTTTCATTGTCCGAGAGGGTGGGACAGTAGAAATAAGAGAGAGAGAGAGAGAGAGAAAGAGAGAGAACAGTTTCTCGATACGAAACGACGAGTCCGTCGGAGCGCGACCGGTAAGGAGGAGAACATTGGAGAAGGAGGGAGGAGGAGGAGAAGGGAGAAGGACGAGCAGAAAGTCCGGCATATCCATCGTCGGTCCATCGGCTCTACTCGGTGGAAGCAAACGACACAAAAACTGGCGTGCATTGTCCCCGACTGAGAGCCTGGAGATTGGCGAGAAGAAGAAACGAAGAAAAGAGAGAGAGAGAGAGAGAAAGAGAGAAAGAGAAATGCTGGCTTCCCTCTCCAAAGTCATGCATACCAAGCTCGGCCGCTGAACGAGAAACCCACCGAGAAAAGAAGAGTAGAGAGAGAGAATGAGAGGCGCGGAACGGCGCTCGATTTGATTTTTAAATGCAAACAAATCTACATCGTGACAAAAGCGCCGCCGAAGACGTCGCATGGTCGTTCAGAGAGGATAGACTGTTGCAGTGAGACGGAGGACTGGTCCTCAATGACGACGAGGGAAGCGTCGTCAACGCCAAAGACTCCAAGCGCTTGTACCGGACATTTTTTTCGATCATCCGAGCCCGCCAAGAAGAAAACCAAGCCGGTGTTCCTTTCTTTCCTCTCTCCCTCTCTCTTTATCTATGTATCTATTGTATCTATCTTTGTATTATTTTTTCCTACCCTTTCGAAGTATTTACGATTTTCTGTATCATCCCCGAGTATTTTCTCTACGCGCATGACGAGTAAAAAGTCAATTTGGAAAGTCAGTTTGAAAGT